AAATGAGTTCAATAAGATTTCTATTTTTCTCCCTATTTCTTCCTTCAATACATTGAATAGTTTCTTTTAACGGTGATATTCACCTGTTTTGGTCTACACATTACAGATTATATCATAGTGCAGCCTACAGTTTTTCTGCTTCTCTAGCAGTTAAAGTATATCATGATATATATAAACAATATTAGTTCAGGGTCTTAATTATTGGACATAGAAAAGAGCAAGTACCTGATGGAGGCAGGATGATCTGTTTTTATTATTCAAGTATATTTCCATATTTCTATCGCATTTTGACCATGTACCTGTGTATGTGAATCAGATAGATAAGCTGAGGCAATCATAAGCAAAAACCCATTCCCCTCAAGTCAATTCTAGCTCAAAGTAGCTGTACCAGACAGAATACAAGTACTATACAAGTTCCCAAGGCAGTGATCCTAGAAGCAGACTGCCACATTGTTCAAGTGAGAAGTGCCTGTTGGGTTTGAACCATGAAACATTAGGTTAGTAGCCAACTTTAGGGTACCAACCACTATGCCAGGAGAACTCTATAAGGGAAATATCTAAAACCATTACCGTCGACCGTATGTCAATGCACAGTATCAATTTAGGACAGAGAAAAACTGCCTCAAAGGGTTTCCAAGGTTGTAAACGGTGATGGTAGCAGATTGCCACAGCTTTCTGCAGGAGAAATAGGTTCACACTGCTGACGTTTCTGACAATAACCGAGCACTTGACCATTGCGGCACCTGAGCTCCTCCTCAATATACATAAACTCATTGCCATCAAGCCGTTGCTGACCCATAAGTACCCCTACTTGGAAAAGGAAAGAATGCTTTTTCTGGGCTTAAATATGCCCTCCTCTATAGGGCATTTTTAAAAGTACTAGATAATCGTCCTACTTATATATATTCATATGTCCTTTAAATAGTTATAATCACCAAAACTTGCCTCATTGTTATGCAGATATATTCCACTTATAAAATGTTTACAAAGAGCTCAAAGACTTAAATGAGAACAATATTGCTTTAAAAATAGGCAATGTTTTTATCAAATGCATTCAAGCTGATCTCACTATGGTGGGAGAAATAGATCTGCTGGAATAGTGCTATGGGAACATGACTGTCCCCTCTGCAAAGTACACCTTTGATACTGGCTCTTGTTTTCCTCTTTAACACCCTAGCCAATGAGTGTTTCCCTCCAGACTGTCAGAATCCTTCACTTCTGAGTTCTTCTTCTCCTATGAGAATTGTTGGCTACTTGTAGGTATACTTGCCCAAGATGGAAGAAATACAGCAAAAATTAAGACTTGCTAGAAATTACCAAGAAAAACTTAGACTCTCGTTTTTAGATCTAATAGAAAGGGCATGTAAAATCAATCTGACCACTGGACTCATGATGAAGAAGTATTCTCTACCTAGTCCCCATTTTCCTTTGTCATGGGGGGGATTCACTTTCACTTGTATGCCTACTGAGCTAAGTATTCCTATTTGATTAGGGAAACAGCAGATATTCCCAATCATCATAAAAACTATGTTAAAATTATGCAGCATTGTAACCTGTGAGTGAGAGAAATAAAGTTTTCAAAGGAAACATACCCACACACAACACATATTTTCAAACTGGATGGATGAAATTACACTTGTATTTCTGAGAATGCCATAAATAATTCTTATACAGCAAAAGTCCCTCGTTTATTTATTTCACTGCCCATAAAGAGATGAATAAATAAATCAAGTCACTAGACATTTGTTGCCCTTCAATACCTTAATTTCAAGATAGCAAGATGTCAAGGTGATTGAAATGTGGTTCAGTGTCCAGAGCCTTGGTAGGAAGAGACCACAATCTTAGAATCAATGAACATGTACCACACTCTTCCCTGAATCCGACTATTTGTGTATGTTTATCTGGCCTTTTAAAGGGAAAGGTGTTGTATGTCCCAAGGGACATAGCAGAGCATCAGAGACACATTTGCCAATGTGGGAATCAAGCTAAACTCAACGGAAGATGGAAAGAGTGTGAAATTTCCATTCTTAATATGTAGATGATGATACAGAAATAAGTGAATAATTTCATATGTGTTTAGATCAGCATGTGTATATAGGGGGATGAGAATGACCACAAGCTATTGTTTAAAAAAATTAGTTATTTTAATATTTATCACAGTTTTTTCCTTTATTTCTGTCTTGGGGAAAATTAATTGAAACCTTCCTTAAGAAGAGTAATTTTCATTTATCGACATATTGTTTATATATTCTTTTGTTCGTCTATTATTTTATACTGTAAGACAGAAGGATATCTTTGCAAACTATCTCACTAGGATTTTGCTATTTGTTAACTGCTTTCAGTTTCTTAATATCTCCATGCATTGTGCATAGTCTTAATATCCCTCTGCTGTGCATAGTCTTAACTAGCCAACTTCTCTGTCATTGTTTCTACATATCTTTCCTTCATTTGCCTGATATCATGGCACTCGCTTGGTGGAGGTTTTCCCTCCACAGGGACATTGTCCCACATCGCCATGGGTGAAATCTTCATCAACTGGGTCAAAACCCAATCTAGGTGGTAATTGTGCCCCCACATTCTACTTTGCACAGGGTTCATGATATTAATGAGCAGTCATAAACGTCTTACCATCTGATTTATTAGACGTCTTCATTCCCACAACTACCTGCCATTGGTGTTAGTCTTTCAAGAACCAGATGCCAAGATGGGATTAAGCACATAATAGATTTATTGAGGATACACCAGTGAAGTATAGAGAGTAAAGAAAGATGAAATTTGGGAGACCCATTAGGCCATGATGAAGTTCTAACATTTGTAAAGTGGTAGGAAGAAGGAAGAGTTGCATATGTAACAAATTACTCCTGATTGTGGCTCTGAGACAGTGTCAGCCAGGCCAAGGGAGAATCCCCAAGCAAAGACTGCCCATTGCAGGAGTTCCATTTCTTGCAGGAAGAGCCTGACACTGACCGTTTGCTGTGTTCTGTCATTGCCAGGGATCAGGAGAGGACAGGATGAGGGCTGTGAATGTCAAAGCGCATCCAGAGTGGGTGCCGTCAGAGCTGTCAGTCAGCTGTGATAGTGGTATCAGGCTCTCATGAGAGGCCCACGTTCATGACAGCTACAGTAATTATAAAGAGTCATCAGAAAATTCCAGATTGAAGAAGTTTGTCAAAGAATATACTAGAAAATATCCTGCATATTAAATACAAATAGGAGACATGACAGCAATATACAATGTTTCACGATAGACTGGATTTCAAAAGCTGTATATAATTGTTACTGACTCATTATATCTTTATATGTAGAAAAATTAAGAATGCATTTGGATCAAACTATAGTAGAAAAACATCAGGACTTGAAAATGTTCAGGGACAAGTGGAATTAAAATATGATAGACATTTTTCTGTGGCCCTTTGGGAAAAAACCCTCATATTTCTTGATATTGATGATTAGTTTGTGTTCTAAAAAATCACTGGCTTTGTTCTTAGGGAAAAAATGGAAGGATTTATAGGCAAACAGGAAATAGGGTTTCAATTTACTCTCAAACAGTTCAGAAAAACCTTATACACATATACATACATGCAAACACAGATGGTAAGAAAAGAAAAATGCTAAACCAAATGAGGCTAAATGTTAGGAATTGGTAAATCTATTTTAAATGCTTATATAATGTATTTTACTGGCCTTGCAACCTTCTGTACTTTAAGCTTTAAATTATATCAGAACACTTTGAATATCATTATAGATGTTTACCAGGCAGTCTATTAATTTATTATTAATTTTTCAGGAGATTGTGATGTTCATGGGTTTTGTCAGCTTTTAAAGTTATATGATTAGTTCTTTGTTCATTCAAAATAAGTATTTATTTTATAGTTTACTTTGTATTAAGAGGTAGAAAAAATGTCACTGAAAGCTATGAGATCTGAAAGTGAACAGACGGGGCTGCCTGACAAGTGCTGGAAGACACCCGTTTGAATGCTTATGCCACGGAAAACTGGGAATGAGTAACCCAAATCCACCGACTCTTGCGTTCTAATGTCCTATTCGTGCCTCCCCTTGATCAATAAAAGACAATGGCATTTTACAAAGGGGCCTGGATTACACGGGACGTGTGGTTCAACAGGTCTGTACTGGCCTGCAAAGCAGTGCAGAAAGAGCCGAGACAGGAATCTGGAGCAGCAAAGGAAGCAAGACGCAGACCTTCGGGCTTTTGAGTTCTGATTGTCTGACTTATTTCTCCTTATTCAGCTGGAATCTCCTCATAATGTAGTTCAACTCTGCACATATGAAATGTCCTGTCTTCCTTCCTCTCATTCCACACTACTGGAATGGTGATAAAGCAAGGTAGACTAACTTATTTCTTTGCAAATATAGGTATGTCCCATGACTCATGCCCCAATTATGTATTTTTTGGTTGTATAGGTGGAAGTGCCTGTATATGTATATGTGTTTGTTTTTATATTTTCTTTTATTTTTAGAGGGTGTATATTAATTATTAATGTTGGTTGTCTAATCCCCATTTATTGATTTCATAGCAAGCTCTCCTATAGTCTCAAGTATGTTTAATTCTTGTCAATAATTTGGAGTCAATGAGTTTAGTTTTTCCTCAGATGCTTTCACAATAATTGATTTATTTCATTTACTTTTTTGTTGTGATTTGGGCAGAAGCTCACAATGTGAATTCGTTTTCCATTGAATAATTCATAAACATTTGGTCTCATGACAAGGATTGCAATCTCCACAATGTAGCAGCACTCAAAACACTTCGTTCCTGTGTTTCCTACACTTGATTCTGTGTCCTATCCCTTCTTGCTTCTGATCACTCTCTAAGCAAATGTGCCCCTTTCGATCTCATATGGCAGATTTTTTCTAACACCATTTCTTTTGAGAAATGTAAAAGCAATCTCAAGGGCAGTGCTTATTTTTTCATCCTCAATGAAGTCCTGCTATGCAATTTATAAGCAGCTATAGAAGGTGTGCTTCCCAAAGTCTCTAATGTCTTATTTCTCTCCAAAGCCCCCCAAAAGCACCTTTTGGAAACCTGCCCTTAGCTCTTTGGTTCTAAGTGCATAGACCATGGGGTTTAAGGCAGGGGGAATGATGTTGTGTAGTACATTGAGTAGAACTGGGATTAGAGTGGCCTTGGTCTCTGTCAGGTGAGTTACTGAAATGACAACAATGACTGTGTAGAAAAAAAGGATGAGGATGAGATGGGAGCTACACGTGCTGAAAGCCTTCGATGCAGCTTCAGCTGAATTCAGTCTAAGTACAGAGCGCAGGATCAATATATATGACAATATAATAAGACTGAGATCACTCCCCATACAAACCCATGCCAGAACTAATTGGCAAATACTATTTGGCCTTCTGTCATCACAAGCCAGGCTTGTGACTCCAAGGTTGGAGCACAAGCAATGGTCAATCTCGTTCCTGGAGCAGTAGTTACGCTGGGCCGCAAGAACAGGCACTGGGATGACTAAGAAGCCATTTCTGAGCACCATGAACAAGGTAACTTTTATGACGAAGGTATTGGTCACGATGGCTGGGTAGCGAAGAGGATGGCAAATAGCTACATACCTATCAAAAGCCATGCAAAGGAAAATACCAGACTCCATGCCAACAAAGCAGTGAATGGCATAGATCTGAGCAAAACACTCAGGGAGACTAATGGCATTAGAGTTAAACCAGAAGATGGCCAGAATCTTGGGCACGATGGTGGTGGCCAGGCCCATGTCTACTACAGAAAGGATGCCTAGGAAATAGTACATGGGTTGTTGCAGAGCAGAGTCCTGGCAGATGGTGATGAGAATGAGGAGGTTGGCACCAATTGCCACAAGGTAGAGTGGTGCCAAGGGCAAAGAAAGCCAGTGCTGCCAGTTGTGAATGCCTGGAATTCCCATCAAGATGAACTCTGAAACCTGCAATTTAGAACTGTTGGATAGTTTGAGAGCTGCAGACATATTTCCCGAAGGGACAAACAAAATTCAGTTGCTGCTTCTGAGAATAAACAACATAGGAAAAATTGAAAAATTGTCTCCACTTAGTGTATTTTTATGCTATAAAAAACAATCTGGAGTCAATCTCTTATAGTAGTTAAAGATATCTCAAGGAAGTTCTAGGACTTCACTAGAAAAAGGTACATTTTCAAGTAGTAATTACCAGTGTGCATTATGCTGGTAAATGTTTTTATGGATTTCAAAGATTGAGAGGTACTCCTCTCTATTATCCCAAGTTAGGCCCACTGCAAGATATAAGATTTTATTAATTTTTTCCTAAACTGTTATTCAGTCCCTTGAGAGATTTTGTGATGTCAATTCACCGTGTTTGTTTTCCTCATTTTGGCTCAAACTTACTTGACTTCAATTTTTATTAAACGTTATATACATTTTTAATTACTGATATATAGAAGATTAAAGTTTGTTGCTCAACCACACCAAGTGAAATAGATGTCTGTTAATGTTTTATGTTGAGTTGCAAAATTTTGATATCACAGTCTTTTAAAGAGTGTAAACCTTGTAGCTCATTGCAGAGAGCAGAGAGAGCATTTTTATTTGATTTTCTTCTTTGTGTGGACTTCTAAGCAGTCTCGAAAGAACAGCTTGAATGAAAGAATGATCCTTGCTGGATTTAATTTGATTTAATTTAAGGAGGTGGTTTTGAAGGAAGGAAGATGTCCAAGCTCCACGGAAGGTTTTAGCAAAAAACAAGCATCCAGTAATTTGCAAAATATATATTGAAATGTTTCCTCAAACAGATGAAGATCTGGAGGTGCTCACTCCTCTGTGCAAAAGCTTTAGGAAGACAGCTACTTGCCTACCGACTGACCACATTATCCACATTATAAAGAAGGCGTCCCAAAAGAATGTGGCGATCATCATATGATATTATTAATATCACACACAAAAATAACATCTGCTGAAGGTAATGCCAAAACCGTTGTAGGTTTATATCACAGAGCATTGCCAGAAATTTCAGCTGGATTCAGAGAAGGTCCTAGAATTGCATATCATTGCTGACTTCAAGTAGATCTTGGCTGAAAGCAGAAAGATGTTTATTAGTGTTGTATTGACAAAGGTATTTGACTGTGTGCATCATAACAAGCTATGGATAATATTGAGGAGAATGAGTAATTCATTGTGGCTATGCAGACCTGTATATAAGACAAGAGATTATCAATCAAACAGAATAAAAGGATATTGAATTATAAATCAGGAAACGTGTGTGTCACAGGCATATCCTTTCACCATACTTTCAGCCTCTGTGCTCTCCAGTAATCAGAGAAGTTGGGATATAGGAAGAAGAACCCAGCATGAGATTTGGAGAAAGGCTCATGAACAACGTGTAATATACTAATGAAAAAATTTGCTTGATTAAAGCTAAAACAACTTGAATCAATATATGGTAAGGGCATTACAACCTTCAGAATGTATTACAACTCAATGTAAAAACAAATCTTCACCACTAGACCTACAACTTCTATAACTTCATGGTAAGTCGAGAAAATATTAAATTTTGCAAGGATTTTACGTTCCTTGTATACACAATCAGTGCCCTTGGAAACAACAGTCAAGAAATCAAATGATGCATTTGGACAAATCTGCCTTCAAAGACCTTTGTAAAATGTTAGAGATCAAAGATATCACTTTGCGGGATAAGATGCACCTGACTGAAGACAAGCTATTTTTTTCACCTCATATGCATACCAAAGCTGGACAATGAATAAAGAAGGCTGCAGAAGGTTTGATGCCTTTGAACTTTGATGTGGGTGAAGAATATTGAGTCTGCCATGGGTTTCCTGGAGCCCTGGTGGTGTAGCGGTTCCATGTTGGCCTGTAATCCTCATGGTTGGCAGTTCTAAACCACCAGCAACTCCATGGGAGAAAGACTGGGCTTTCTATTCTAGGAAGCAGTTACAGTCTCAGAAAACCACAGGGAGTCTCTGTGCGTCAGCATGGACTCAATCACACTGAATTTGGTTTGGGTTTGGGCCAGAAGAATAACTACCGATGGAATGCTCCCTAGAGCGAAGATGGCAAGACTTCTTCTGATGCAGTTCATAGGGACCAGTCCTGAAGAAGGAGACACCAGGCCTGGGAAAACACGTCAGCAAAAAAGAGGCAGACTACCAAGGAGATGGACTGGCACAGTGGCTGCAAATAATAACGCAAACAGAAGGACGATGTTAAGGAAGGCACAGGACTCGGCAGTATTGCGTTCTGTTGCGCGCAGCGTTGCCGTGAGTGGGAACCAACTCTACAGCACCAAACAGCAGCAACAACAGACTGCGATGGACCTCAGCAAGTCTGCTTCTGGGTTTCAGAGTGGAGTCTTAGAGTAAGTAGCTAAAGAGCATAGGAGTAAGACTGTGGGGCAGTTCTACCCTGTTCTATAGGGTCGCGCTGAGTCAGTATGGTGGCAGTAAGTTTGGTTTGGGGGGGATTTAATTGTAGGCGGAAAAAGATATAATGGGCTCATTGATGGATTCTTTTTTCTGTCATTAATAAATAAGCAGGTCTCCTCAAAACAAACAAACAACAACAACAATAACAAAAGAATTTAGGCATAACTAATGAAATTAATCACCAGAAATTGGTATGAGCAAAGTTTCAATCTAGGAATATTGGAAGTTGTCAACAATGAAATGGAATGCAGAAAGATGAATATTCTGTGTTAGTGAGCTGAAACGGACTTGATCAGGCAGGTTTAAATTAGAAAATTATGTATTTTACTATGCTCTGGTGGTGTAATAGTTACTTTTTAGGCTGCAAGTAGCAAGGTTGGGGGTTCAAATCCATCAGCTGCTCCCCAAAAGAAAGAAGGGGCTTTCTTTCTTGTAAACAGCTACAGTCTCAAAAACTCACAGGGGCAGTTTTATCCTGTCCCTTCGGGCTGGTGGCAGTCAGTGTTGATGAGGTGACCGTGGGGAGAGTGTTCGTAGTACTGAACCAGGAATGACCAATTCAAGACAACAGTGTTGCATTCATTGTCAAAAAGGACATCTCGAGATCTGCTTTTAAATGCAATGCTGTCTGTGATAGGATGATGGGTCTCCACATACATGGAAATCCAATCAATGCAACCACTATTCAAATTTACACACCAATCACTAAAGCTAAAAATTCAGAAACTGGAAAATTCTATCGAGGTCTTCCATCTGGAACTGATCAAACATACAATCAAGATGCACTGATAATTATTGTGATTAGAATGCAAAACGTGGAACCAAAAAAGAAGAAATGGTAGTTGGAGAATATGATCTTGGTGATAGAAATTAAAATGGAGCTTTCATACATATGTAAATATATGTATATAGGATGGTGGGGAAATAGATCTACTTGCATATATTTATAGGTTTAGTATTAAGGCAGCAGATGGACATTGGACCTCCACTCAAGTACTTGCTCAATGCAAGAACACTTTGTTCTATTAGCATTCCATGAAGCAAACCTTCCCGATATTATCGCTGAAGACAAATGTGTGCATAAGCAAATGTGGTTAAGAGAGCTGATGGTGCCCGGCTCTCAAAAGATATAGCATCTGGGGTCTTGAAGGCTTGCAGGTAAACAAGTAGCAATCTAGCTCAGAAGCATCAAAGCACACATGGAATAAGCACACCAGCATGTGTGACCATGAGGTGTAGAAGGGACTAGGTATCAGACATCAAAGGACAAAAAAATCATATCAGTAGTTTCACACCTTCCCGATATGATCACTGAAGACAAATGTGTACATAAGCAAATGTGCTGAAGAAAGCTGATGGTGCCCAGCTCTCAAAAGATATAGCATCCGGGATCTTACAGGTTTGAAAATAAACAAGCAGCCATCTAGCTCAGAAGTAATAATGCCCACGTGGAAGAAGCACACTAGCCTTTGTGACCATGAGGTGTCAAAGGGATGAGGTATCAGGCATCAAAGAACAAAAAATCATATCAGTGTAAATGAGGGTGAGTCCAGAGTGGAGAATCAAAGCCCATCTGTAGGCAACTGGACACCCCATTACTGAAGGGTCACTGGAGGAGATGAGCCATTCAGAGGACAGGGTAACAATGATGAAACATACAACTTTCCTCTAGTCCTTAAATGCTTCCTCCCCCCACTCTCATGATCCCAATTCTACCTTACAAATCTGATTAGATCAGAGGATGTACATTGGTACAGATAGGAATTAGAAACACAGGGAATCCAGGACAGATCACCCCTTCAGGGCCAGTGGTGAGAGTGGCGATACCTGGAAGGAGGAGGGAAGATGGGGTAGAAAAGGGGAACCGATTATAAGGATCTGCAAATAACCTCCTCCTTGGGGGATGGACAACAGAGAGGTTGGTGAAGGGAGACGTCGGACAGTGTAAGATATGACAAAATAATAATAATTTATAAATTATCAAGGGTTCCTGAGGTAGGGAGGAGAGGGGAAAGAGTGGGGAAAATGAGGAGCTGATATCAAGGGATCAAGAAGAAAACAAATGTTTTGAGAATGATGATGGCAACAAATGTACAAATATGCTTGACACAATGGATGTATGTATGGATTGTGATAAAAGTTGTACGAGCCCCCAATAAAATGATTGTTTTTTTAAATGGAGCTTACATGAATGAATTTTGCAATTGCCCTTTATTTCAGTGACACAAAAGGCAACTATTGAACTTCAACTTTTATTTCAAGAAAAGTATAAATACCTCAGGGTATTTGATTTTCCTCGGCTCTTGATTCTTTCTTTTACTTAATTTGCATACACCTTCTCTTCATAACTGCTGTTTTTGATGGAATTCACACCTTAAATATCTCTAATATGGTCTGGTCATGATTGTCTCTGATTTCCCAAAGCATTTTTCTTTTTGCCAGCAATCTAATTATTCTAATATTGTTGCCCTCTTGTTTCAAATGCCCTGATGTATTTACACTTTCCTTTAAATAGAAGTTGAATCTACCATATGCCGTCTAAGGAAATCAGATATAGTA